GGCAGCGAGGGCGCGCGGAGCCGGCGGCCGACGGGCGGGCGGCTGCGGAGCAGGAGGGCCGGGCTGCCGGGCGAGCGCGGGTCCCGGTGCTGCTCTGCGCCGGCTGGGTGCGCTCTGAGCCCGTGACTCCGCTCGCGCCTTTATAATCCAACCTGCCGCTGATGTCATCCTCCCGCCCACCGGGCCGCCTCGGCCAATGGCACGGCGCACGCGGCCGCGCCGAGGGCCAGGAGGGGGCCGCGGGGCCCCAGCGGCCCCCACCCTCATTCCGCCCCCGAGGGATCCCGCGGCTCGGCGGGCTCGCTCCGGGCTGCACTCGGAGCTGCAAAGCGGCGCGCGCGACGCAACTCCATTTGCAGAGAGCGCGCGCCCTGGCATGCCCTGCTGCGTTGCGCCTGTGCACCCGCGGGGTCCTCACACGCGCGCTCTACCTGGAAAGCATCCGTATCCCTCTGAGCAGGTGCAAAGACAGGCTCAGAGGAATGAAGTCACTTGTCCAAAGTCACACAGCCAGAAAGTTCGCGCTGCCTGAAACCCACGCATTTCTGCCGGCTCGCGGAACTCTTCCCTGGGCAGCCGGCAGACGCGGGCTGGCACTGCGGCTCCACCTTTCACCTCGCCAGGGCGGGACCACAGACCACGCCGACGCCGTTAGGTGGGGGAGGTGGAAAGGGGGGCAGGAGGACCCGGCGGGAGGCGCAGGGAGCGCCGGGCTTGCCAAGGCCGCAGGGGGGAGCGCACTCTTCTGCACCGGAGAGTGCCAGCGTTTCGCCAGCCTGTTTGTGCGCGAGACCGGAGCCGGGGGCTGCAAAGGCAGGCCCTTTTACCCGTGCCCATGCGAGTGCGCCGTGGCATCGTGTGCCCGCCACTTGGTTCTAAGTTCGCACTCGGTCCGGGTGATCCACACAGAACTGACTGATCCACTCAGAACTGACTGATCCCAAGGGCTGACTCCGCGGGTGGCTTCCGTCTGCGCGGACCGGCGCGTGCCTGACCCTGCCTGCAGCCACGCGAGGATCCGCGGCGCGGGGACTGCCCCCCGGTGTCCTGTGCGCCTGCATAGGCTGGGGAGGGAGCTTGCTCAGCCCCAAGCCCACTCTAGCCTCTGTGAGCCGTGACAGGCGATCAGCTTCGCGCTTGAGGTCCTCGTGGTGGCTGCCAGGACGCGGCCGCATATCTCTGCCGCTAACGATCTTCCTGTCCTTGGGATGGGCGTCTCGGGTCCTCGGGCTCTGGAGAGACACCCAGGTATGGACCGCGGAGGCAGAGAGCCCAGAACTCCCAAAACAGAGTGAGCTGCAGGCCTGAGGATAACTCCGTGCTAGGTGGGAGTCCAGCTGAGCTTTTTCAGGGAGAGGAAGCCACGTTGAAAGCAGGAGGGGGGCTGGAGTGAGAAGGGGCCTCCAGAACCAGTTGCCCCATGTGGCTTTTGCGCAGAACCTGTTCCCAGAGCCGCAGAAGCAGCGGCATCGTTGTCTGCTCTGTCAACCCCTTACTCGGGCTTCACCTTCCCACCATCACACCTTGAGTCAAAACTGCAGACCAGTCACTCCCTAGGCCACTTTGTTAGGAAACAACCTACACCTGAGGTCTGAGTTTGGGGCGGCAGAGTTTCCTGGTCTCCAGGAAGATCCAGACATCAACAGGGCATCCTTTGTCAGTTCTGGTGAGTTGGCTCACCACCTCCTGGCAGCCCATCTGATTGCCTCTGTATGTTAACACACACAGAGTGGCACTACTCTTTCATTTGAGGAGAAAGGAAAAGGAACAGGAAGGAGGAAGAGAGAGGGATCTTCAGCGGGCTGTGACAGTTCTCTCTCCTAAGCCTCCTGAATAAAGAGGAATGTTACCATTTGAAACTTCTTTGACACGTGTCTTGTTTATACCTTGTTTAAATAGCCAGCCAAATTGACTCTAGAGTCAGGTGCTAGGCTGCTTTCCACAGGCCAGCAACTGTATCCTCTGAAGTCCCTTATTGATTGATTGATTGTAGAGACAGAGTCTGTCCTGTCACCCAAGTTGGAGTGTGGTGGTGGGATCTTAGCTCACTGCAGCATCCAACTCCTGGTAAATCCCCTTACAAAGGGCAGGCTGGAAGCTTCCAGTGCTCATGGCTACCTCCTCCTGCCTGAATGTCTGTAGGCAGGTTCCTCTTGTCTCTTGTGTCCCTAGATGCACTCAGTGTGTCCCGGTGATAGTCTGCTGACCATCTTGGTCTCCCCTCTGTTTGAGTTTTGAGGATAAAAAACTTTTTTTTGAGTTGGCATCTCATTCTGTCACCCAGGATAAGTGCAGTGGCACGATCACTGCTCACTGCAGCTTCAACCTCCTAGGCTCAGGTGATCCTCCCATGATGTTAAATTCATGAAATGGACACCCCCAACCTAGTGTGACAGAGTCAACACCCTGGATTCCCCTCCCCTCTTTGAAAGGGATCTCTTCTGATGGGCTGCCACTTCTGACCACTGGGCTGTGGTCATTTCAGGCTGATCAGATCCTGGAGAAGTGACCTGTGGGGAGGCTTCCCTGGGGCAGACTGTAGAACAACTTCCCTTTAGCTGGGGCCTGGGGAGGAGCAGGGATGAGTCAGAGGACGTGGCTGGAGGGACCTCAGGGAGGGAGGTCATCAACACATGACTGCTTTGCAGACTGAAGGTGTCCTCTCTTCCTTTGGTGTTCCTGCACGGGAGCTGCTGGGGAAGCACTCTATCCCTCCTGGGCCTGGAGCTGGGATGCAGGTCCCCTCTTGCTGGTTTTCCCTCTTGAAGTCTACTTGTCTGCCCCTGACCCCAGGGACCTGGCCTGGGAAACTTAGACTCAATGAGCACCTGAATATGAGCTGTTCAAGTCCTTTTCTTGACTGCTCAATTTTGCATCTCCTCCTGATGCCAAAAGAGGGAGAAAAGACCTCAAGGACTTGGTAATTCTGTAGGGAATGCTCTCATTTGTCATTTGTCTACCCACTGATGCTCCATGGATCCACCGAGCACCCTTGGGGCCTGTGGGGTTCCATTCCAGCAGGGAAGAACCTATAGGAAACAGACGCTGGCTTGTAGGCTACAAAGAACAATGACAGGAAAGAGGGCTGCTCGGGCTTAGGCCACCCCAGAAGGGTGCCTCCCCCAGCCTGCATTAGCAGGGTGGGCATCCTGGAGAAGGAAGTCTATGCTGAGCCTGGAACCACAGGGAGAGAAGGGCAGAGAGGAGGAAAACCTAAATGGAAAATAGAATGACTTCCTTCAGTCTGACAGTGGAATGTACCAGACACTCAGGCTTAGAGGGATACTGTGCAAGAAAGAACAGGATGGACACAATGGCTCCTGCCTATAATCCCAGCACTTTGGGAGGCCAAGGCAAGGATCACTTGAGGCCAGGAGTTCAAGACCAGCTTGGGTAACATAGTGAGACCTTATCTCTACAAAAAATCAAAAAAAAAAAAAAATGAGCTGACATGGTGGCACATGCCTGTGAGCTCAGGAGATTGAGGCTGTGATGAGCCGTGATTGTGCCATTGCCTTTCAGCCTGGGCAACAGAGTGAGACTTCTACTCAAAAAACAGAACAGAACCGAACAAAACAAAAAGAGGTCTCACCAGAGGACAAAGCAGAGGGCAGCAGAAAGCCAGTGAGGTTGCAGGGGTGAGGGAAGGTGCAGGGCTTCAGGTAGGGGTGCCCAGAGGAGGCAGGCTCGGGAGAGAGGTCATTCTGAGGTTGGTGGCATTCTGGAGACAGGAAATGTGGTAGAGAGAGGGAGACCTACGACACTCTTGTGACAGGGGTGGGGTGGAGAGGGCAAGTCAGCTTACTGGGGGAGAATGAACGGTAAGGCAGAGGGGGGATGGTCAGTTGGGGTGGGGGGAGCCAGGCATGGGACAGGGAGAGCCAGGTTGAAGTGTGCAGAGCCCCAGGCATCAGAGGGTACTTGGGTGGAACCATTCTCTCCCTTCTGGCCCTCTTAGGGGTGTGGACGTGGAGGGAAAAAACCCTGTTCTGTGGGCCCCCCTTCACTCTTTCCCCTCTCCAACAAGGGCAAGACAAGACTCTTGCACCTTCCACAGAGCCCCCCACCAGGACAATGTCCATTGGAAGCAAGACACCCGTCTTGCTGGGAGATGAGAGTGGGCCCTGGTCAGGATGCTTGGGGTGAGAAAAGTGTGCGGAAGGGCTTCTAGGAGACTAGGAAAGGGGTGGCTAAGACGGGACTGTCCAGTCCTGGTCCCCAGGAAGTGGGAACAAAGCTCCTTGTGGAGGAGCTCCCCCTCCTGGCCCTGGGATGGCAGGGGAGGATTCTCAGGCTCACAGAAGAGGGGAGGATGGCTGAGCAGCCCATCTGTTTCTCTGCAATTATTTCATCCCGGGGCCTCCTTCCAGCTGCATAACTTCTCAGAGAGGACACTAAGCAGGCGGTGAGCAGTTCTTGAGGAGGCGAGGCAGGGAAGTTGCAGCAGGGCCCTGGCCAAGTCTCATCACTGCGTGGGGCCTTCAGTTTCACCACCTGTAATTGGGAAAAGGCCGTCCTGGCCTCCTGGATGGGGCAAAGTGAATCCAGAGGCCCCAAGAGAGGCTTCCAACTCCTCCCTGGCCAAAGGCAGCAGGAAGCAGCTGAGGCAGAAGAGGGATCTGAATGTTACCGCATGTACACACATACTTCCAGTCGGGAGATCCTGGTGGCCTCTGAGATTCCCCAGGACGGTGTGGTTGCGCGACCCCTCAGAGGACCCAGAGACCCAGGCCTGGCCAGGTCTCCTTGAGCTTAGTGCCTTCCTCCAGCAGTCCTGCAACCACAGGGCCGGCCTTAGGGAAGGAGCTGGAGGCCAAAGAAGTGTCATTTGTCCTTTGCAGGCCAGAAATCCCAGGAAAGCTTAACCTCATCTTGCCATGAGTCTCTGTCTGACCCCAGGGCACCCCCACCTGACAAGCCAGCTGCCCTCTTTTCTCTTTCCCAGAGGCTCTGCCAGCACCTGCTCCAGATGGCCTCCAACCCCACTGTCCTACGCAGGCCCATGACGTCAGAGTTTATCCCTCTTCCTCTCCCTCTCCCCTTGTCAAAAAGAAAAGATAGGTCCTCAACAGATAGGCTCGGTTCCCTAGTGGGAACAACTGCTCCCCATCTGGCTGTCAACAGGCAGGTGAGGGGGTCGGGGACTGAGGCCTCAACCCTGAGAAAGTAAGCAGGGTAGTGAGCAAGAGGGGCCTCTCCAGCAGAAAACAGCATCCCAGCCTCAGCTCAGAGCCTGCACCAGATGTTTGCAGAGAATAGATCTGCAGCCAGCCTCCTGCCTGGGGATAAGGACTTGCCTTGGCTGGGCTCTGGTAAATTGTTGGTTATATGGAGCTTTTCAAGCAGTGAGCCACTCCATTCCTGCTCTGGGGGTCTTT